CTCTTTCTATGACCTTCCATCTCTCCAAGCCTGACGTCCTCTTCCCGGGATCGGCCCCTCTTGAAAACATATCCAAAGTATGCAAGGCAAAGGCTCCAATCTTTGTTTCTGAGGCGCTCTCTAGTAGATTTGGGCTTCAACAGACCTGTGTGTTGTTCTGGCAGTTCAGGTTATATTCTGTACTCTTTACCAACCTCACAATAAAAAGGCATCTGTCAGTCTTTCTTATTCATTGTATGACACTCACATGTACATAATGCATGTGTCATTGTCCTGGCTTCAGTCAGACCTACCTTAGCCTTTAAATTCACACCTTTGTTCTCTAGCCCATCAAAGAGGTCCTTGACAGCAGATTGGCACAAAGTAACACATCACTTAATTTGTGGACTGCTGCTGCCATGGGTGATAATTGTGGTTCCAAGTAACATTGAAAACCTTGTTGCTGTTATGTGCCGTTGAGTCATCTGTGACTCATAGTGACCCTATGTACAATAGCCCTAAACTCTGCTCTGTCCTGTGCCAATCTCACTGTCTCTGACACACCTACCCCCATTACCCCAGGCACTGAAGCAATCTATCCATCGAGGGTCTTCCTCTCCCAAGCATGATGTCCTTCTCCAAGGGCTGTTCCTTGCTTGCAACATGTCCAAAGTATGTCAGATGAATCTTCAGAATCTTTGCCTCCAAGGAATAGCCTTGTTTAACCCTCTCGAGGCTGAACTTGTTCATTCTCTTAGCAGTCCATGGTATATTCAATAGTCTTCTCCAACACCACAGCTCAAAGGCAGCAATTTTCCTTCTATCATCCCCAGTCATTGTCCAGCTCTCTAACACAAAGGAAGTGATTGCAAAGATCATGGCCTCTATCAGGTGTACCTTAGTCTCCAGACTGTACTTCAGTACTTTGGAGAGGTCTCTGACAGCTGACTTTCTCATCGCAATATGCCTTTTAATTTCCTGGCTGCTGGTGCCAAGAGTGTAGATTGCGGAGCCAAGCAGACGAAAGCTGTGAACAATCTCAATCTCTTTACCATCTATCATGATGCTGCCAATAGGCCCAGTGGTGGGAATCTTTGTTTTCTTGATGTTAAGCTTCAATCCATATTGAAGGTTGCAGTCCTTGATTTTCTGCAGCAAGTGCTTCAGGTCCTCCTCGGTATCAGCAAACAGGGCTGTGTCATCTGCATAATGCAGATTGTTGATGAGTCAACCTCCAATCCTGATGCCACATTACTTCTCATAGAGCTCACCTGTGTTGAAATTTAGCAAGAGTAAAAAATGTTTTTTGTTTTGTTTTGTTTTTTTAATTACCATATTGGTTTTTGTTGGGTGTTTTGTTTTGTTTTGCTTTTGTTTTTTTGTATTAAGGAATGTTTTGTTGACACAGCATAACTGGGTTTGTCCTAACTCAGCTTGTGCATTACTTAGTTCCTGTGACTGCTTGTTACAACACAAACTGTAACACAAATTGTTACATCTCTCTCTTTTCTGAGCTTGCTTTCCCCCTGGTCTGGGATGGGGGTGGACTTGTGTATATTTGTATTTCTTTGAAGTTCCCAGGTGCTGTAGATGCTTCTAGTTTTGGAATTCATTTTGAGAAAAAAAAAATGCTTCAGTGTAATCAATATTTAACTGAGAGTTCTTGTTATCCCTCAAAACATCTAAAATACTGCCTAAGGCTTTTTTTTTATGAATTCTAATTTAGGATGTGTTGAGGGCAATAAAGAAAGGAAAGAGTGTATTTTACTTTGCATTATTTCAATGCTTTGCAAATAGTTGGACTAAAAATTTTGATACATTGAATACTGATTAGAATATCAAATAATCTTACACTAAACATAAAGTTCTCCATTTAATCAAATCTTCCTAAAAGGGGAAGAATGATATCCATACCTGAGTTAGAAAAAGCGGAAGGTTGTCAGAGATACATCAAAGATTCATTAAAGTATTCAGCACTTTCTCCTCATATTTTGCCGTAGCTATTTGTGAGGGTAGCAGATTAGAGTTGAGTCTGATACATATAGTATTTCAACACAGATAACATGTATCATCTGTATGATTTGTAACTGTCCTTCAAGTACATCTGTGATTTAAGCTTGGTAAACCATAGAAATGCAATGTATTTTAAATTATATATTTAAGGTAAGATAATTTAATGTCCTGAAATATATTGTAATAATTCTTTATGCTGAGGGATGCATGTAAAATTTCAACATAAAAGAGAAAACAGCAACCCCAAAGTCTTCACATCCAATTTGAGTTTTCACAGGCTGTAAATGGTACAGGAGGAGACTGACCATTTTTCTTCTCAAAGCAGCTGGAAGATGCATGTGTACCGTAGAGTTGGAACTGGCTGATAGCTAACCTCGTGGCTCTTCAGAGACAGTGAATTACATGGGAAGAAACTGCCCATCCTTCTCCTGCAGAGCAGCTGGTGGTCTCGAACCATGGGCCTTAGAGATTGCAGCCCAGGTTCTTGCCACTAGGCCACCAGAGCTCCTTAGATTCAAACTACACATCTTTATCAGATTTAAACTACACACTTGTAAATTCTTACCTGTTAGATCACCAGTACCTTTTATTATTTCAATATAAGAATATGTTGTTGTTGTTGTTGCTTGTTGGCAAGTCGAGCACAACTCATAGCGACCCTATGAACAAAAGGCCTGAAGCCTTTCTATAACTATCGTCATTTCTCCAAGTTAATAGTTTTCAGAGGCAAGTTGTTTAGGAAGTGGATTCCATTCCTACTCCCATACCTGTCTTAAACTGGGAGCTCCACCAAACATTATTCACAATGGGTAACCATTACAGAATTTGACACCTCAGTGTCACAAAGTACAGCATCACAACAATCAGGGTTACCTCAATACAGTATATTGACAGAAGAGTGTTGTACCACTTAGGAGAATGTTCCTCCAAAATATAATAACAACCAACTTTTAAATATAAAGGCCCTGCCCAAGGTCTTGTTGACTTTAAATAAGAGGCTTAAGTAAAAACCAACCAAAATAGTATGTTTTTGTTGTTATGTGCCATTGAGTCACCTGTGACATATAGTGACCTTATATGTACAGCAGTTCTGAACCTTTCTCTGTCTAGAGTCAGTCTAACTAACTCAGACACACCAACCCCACTGCCCCAGATACTATATCAATCCATCTCAACCAGGGTCTTCCTCTTCTGTCCCTCCACCCTTCTGAGCATCATGTCCTGTGTATATGTGTCTGTCAAACATATGATTAAACTTGGTAAGCCAATTAAATGATTCTGCCTCAGTTATCTATTTACAGAGCATTGCATTTATGTTGTTACATACTGTTGTCAGAACCGACTCACAGTTGACACTTCAATGGGTTGTTGTCATTGTTGTTGTTAGGTCGCGTTGAGTTGAGTCTGACCTATAGTGACCTTCTGAACAACAGATATGGATCCTGTTCTACCCTGTGCCATCATCGCACTTTCTGACACATTAGAACCTATTGTGACAGTCACTGTGTTAAGCCGTCTGGTTGAGGGTTTTCCTCTCTTACGCTGACTCTCTAACTTTCCAAGCGTCAGGCCCCGATGCCTGAAGTATGTGAGGCAAAGCCTCATCATCTTTGCCTCTAAAGAACACTCTGGCTATCCCCTCTCCAAGACATATTTGTTTGTGATTTTTGGGGGGAATTTTTTGGGAGTCCGTGGGATGTTCAACACCCTTCTCCAACACCACAGTTCAATAGCATCAATTCTTCTGTTCTTATTCATTGGCCAACTCTCAGATGTATAGCAAGTGGTCAGAAAGGCCATGGCCTGAATCCAATACATCTTAGTCCTCAAACTGACATCATTACTCCTCAATAATTTGGAGTAGCCCCTTTCTCTGTGCAATACATCTCCTTATTTCCTGGCAGCTGGTACCAAGGGAATTGTGGATCTAACTAAGATGAAGTTGTTGACAGTTTCACTCTTTTCTCCATCCATCAAGATGTTGCTGTTGTTGTTGTTATGTGCCGTCGAGTCGTTTGCGACTCATAGCGACCCTATGTACAACAACCCTAAACCGTGCTCTATCCTGTGCCAATCGCAT